CTAACCCATCTATCGTATATATTATGCTTATATATACAAGCATCGACGGCCGATGTTTGTATGTCAGATTTCTTTCATCTTCTTGGGCGATTTCATATTTAATTATCCTTTCTTCATTTCTGGCCGCTATTATTTTGTTTTTGTTTCTTCACAGATCATTGAATTTCGATTTTTGATTCATATGTTTTTTTTTTTTTTTTTTTTTTTCTTTTGATGTTTGCCTCTTCAATTTTCTTACGTCAAGGAATCAATGGATCCGTGTACAAATAAGCCGATGCTCTGGATATATGTGATGAAGGTAGCATGGTAATGTGCACGGAGATTAAGTAACTTTTAGGTCGTCATGTCTGCTCCCACTGATTTTTTCTGATTTGGGGGCCTGGATTAAACCTACATTTTTATAAATAAACTGCTTCTGCCGTTTATGTCTTCTACAATCTTCAAATTACCTATTGATTCCTATTCTCTAATGTTAGATTTGTGTAAATTAAACAGTAGTTATTATAACTTTTTGCTAAAATTAAAAGTGTTTTAACCTGATGTATAAAAGCAGGGATCTATTGCCAAATTATATTGTGAATCGATCTCTCGTAAACATCAGGGAAATAGAGCTGGGCATCGTTATTGGGTGAACCTCTTGAATTCTTACATGATGGACAAGGTTCAGTAAACGAAGCTATATTTTTTTGTAAAATATCTATATACATCATATAATTTACCATATACGCCTTATGGTGTTAGATTGTTTAACCGTATATTGAGTGGTTTTTTTTATTTGTAAATTTTTTTTAGTAATTTACAGAAATCGTAGGATTTGAAATTTAAAATCCACAATAATAATAAGTTAAAAGAATGATAATACCTGTTTGTTTTGTAATACTATGTCACAGAAAAAGTTAATAACGAATTACATAACAAAGTTAGTTTAGGTTTTACTATGGTACTCTTTTGAAGATAAGAGGGGAACAAGTTTGTGGTTGTGATTCTGGTGGGAAGAGCTTGCTTGAAGTGGTGTTGAGGTTATATGGTGTTTGTTGACGATGGAGCAAATCCTGATGACTTTATCGATAATAAAAATTCAAATGAATCGTATTATTTTTCTATCTAAAAATCTCACTCTTGAACCTTTTTTCTTTCCCTGATGATTATGTCTTTCGATCAATTTCTTACGTTTTCCAAAGTTAAGATTGAATAAAATTAACCATAATTTTAATTAAACACTTTTAATATTTGTTTTCAGTTGAATGATCTGCTGCATCTTTGATGTTGTGTGTGAATCTGCTCTCAAACTGTGTAGACTCAAATTAATAAAACTAAATCATACATATAAGTCGGAAGACTATGAAAACTACTTTTTATTTTTTACACAAACAAAAACAAACAGATATGATCTACACTCAAATTGTTTATGAATAATTGAACTTTTTGCAAATTGCCTAACATTTCGATTTCATTTGGGATATTGCCCTCGAATAAATTAGGCATCGAGTTCCTGATCAACATAGAAATTATAATCTGAAACTCAGGTGACCTAATAATTTTGTTAACAGAAAGATTGGGGGTGGTCAATTAAAAAAAGAAGACATAGATAAAAAGGAACTGGACCACTTAACCTCAGCTAGCTGCAGCAAGCTGGTTTCAGCTTCTATTGTTTCCCTCTTCATTAGGAAGAACATCTTGAAACATGAAAAGAAAGATTCAAATATACAACTCCTTGCACTTACCACTATGAAAACGAATTTTGCCCTCTAGACTGTTATGAACATGGAAAACATTTTGGAAAGATCATTTACGGTAATACTGATTGTAACGGACAAAGAACTAGAAGGATTCTATAATGTGTTGTCATAAAAACTCTCGTATCTTGGTTAGGTGGGTCTGTATTGGGCACATGCTCTGAAACCAAAATTTCCACAACACGGGATTAATAAAATTTATGATGAAGTATACCTGACTTATAATGATCTTGATGATGAATTATATTGGGTATATGGATGATTATATGTATGGTTTTGGATAATTGGGATAGATGTTCTGGTATTCAGAAATAGAATCAATAGATGAAGAACTTTGAGATCAATTCAAGTTTTAAACATTAAAAAAACTTTTATTTATTCCATATGGGCAAAAATCTTATTTATAGGCTCAAAAGAGCAATTGAATTGCAATCCGCAATTGTATGATTATTGAATTGCAATCCGCGATTGTATGATTGCAAACATATTTATAACATAGTCCCCTATACCATAGAGGAGTAGACACTTTATGTGACATCTTACTGTTACATTCTATATATGACACTTTATCTATTAATACATGACATATAACGTTATCAACACATAACATATATACTACCGATAACGATAAATAGAAATATTACAAATAAAATAAATATGTTTGTGGTCTTGCAATCATACGATTATAATTCAATTATGTAATCGGTTCTTTTGAGCCTATAGGGCATTAGTATGTATGTAATAAACAATATGTTTTGAGTGTTTTAAGACTTAGTTGAATCTTAAAGATCTTTGTCTGTTGAAATAGTTTGTCTATTTCTGAATAGTAGAGTTCTCTGTTGAAATAGTTTATTTATTTCTGAATAGTAGAGTTGTATCCAACCCATACATATAATTAATCTAAACAATACATCATCAATACATTCTGACACATTATTAATGTATAATCCATCATATTTTTTATTAATTCCGTCATGTTATTCAAATTATAAACGCTTTTGTTCTTATCTTTGAGTTTTTAAAACTAATTTTTGAATAAAAACCAACAAATGTTTCTTAATAAACCTGGTATGATCAAAACCTACCTTATACATATTGGATGATCAATCTATCCTACAAAACAACATTTGGAAGCCTTCAAAATAAGAAATAGGAAAATTAAATTTAAAATTTTACTCTTTATTTCTTTTTAAAAAATTTACCTCATTAGGGAAAACATGAAATTTGCTACCACCATTGGTTTGATGTCCATAATGTACACATAATTGCTACTCTGCCATAAAAACACAACACCATATGAACTTTTTTTAATCGAACAAGCATAGTAAGTAGGAAGATGGAGTAGATCCAGACGTTATGAACTATGTGCAGGGTGAAAAATGAAGACAATAAAGACCTAACATATTTATTTAGACATCCAATGTGAAAGGATAGATAACGAACAAACTTGTCCCTATTCTTTGATGCATGTGATGTACTTTAACACATTTTTTTACGTCTGTTATATTGAGGGACCAAAACCATAAAAAGTTTAACTTTAAACAATTTTTAGATTAAAAGAAAAAACATAAGAACCATTTTTAAAGTTTTCTTTTGTTTTTTGTTTTTTTTAGGGGGGGGGGGGGTTAAATTGCACAAATGTCACAATTTTTTCATAAAAAATCAATTTTGACACTGCACATTTTTTTCAATTTACTCATTAAGTTTTAAATTTTTGCAATGTGGACCATTTGACGGTCAATCCGGTTACCTGCTGACATGTCATGATGATGTGTCGGTTTTTGATG